ATTTTTTCCCCCTTCCCCCCCCCCCTTTTCTTTCTAACAATCAGTGGGACGCTTCATGAGCGATGGTATTTTTTCAAACCGTGCTTGTCAGCAGGATCCCAGGTTTGGAGAGACCGATGGAGGCGGCCGGATGACCGTGTTGCCCGCAGGTAGGAAGGCATGGAGCAGGGAGAAGCGGGAAGACCTTATTTTCCTACATATGAGATATACCAGCAGGGCCATGGAAGCCTTTTCCTTGCGGAGCCTGGTGATGAGCGCTCTACGGCGTTTGGTGGGTGTTGAAGCTAGGGAATGGTTGGAGAAGGTGGTGTTTGGGTGGACATACGAGAAGCCCGTGGCGGCGCACGTATGCAGGCCGAAGGAGGTGTTCAAAGATTTTGATATAGAGCACTGGACGGACCACTATGACCCTGCACCGTGTCACTGCAGATCGGAGAGGTACATGCGGTTCCAGTCGAAGAAGACCCTAGAGCTTCTCCCGGGCGCCGAGCACATGCACGTGCTGACCATGGATGCGGACATCACGAGCAATTGTAGGCTGCGAGCGATGATCAAAGCCGGGCTCAACCACATTCCGTTGAGGGTTTTTGACGTCGACGAAGCTCTTTTCGAACTCAATGGGTTCATGGACAAACTTATTATGGCCTCCTACGACATAGCGAGCATGGGTGAGCATCAGAGACGAAGGCTCAAGCAGATCGTGCTGGACAGAGCGAAGGGTAAGATAGACGGGTACATCAGCAGACACAGGTTCATCTCAGCAGAGCTGATAGACCAGACGAGCAGGAGGAGGGAGATAGATTTTCTCACCCAGAGGTTCCTAATGTCCCCCACGGATAAGTCCGCCAATACCCCCTCCTTTGTCTGCACAAACTTTATCCGCGTACTTGCATTGCACAGGCTGCTGGGCCCAGACTTCGTCATGCAGCAGGAGGATCCAGAATAACTCATCTTGGCCATAAAAGGAAGTCTGACTCACCTCCCTGCACTACCCCCTGCACACGACGCCCTGTGTTACCTAATGACAGTATATAAAGCACACAAACAGTCGTTTCGGTGGATCACTAACACAACCAATACGGTGGTTTCACCCATGGCGGAGTTATGTGCTTGCCTGCTCCGTTTTCTGGTATCGTCAGTCCAGTCCTTCTGCTCAGAAAAAAGCAGGACCATGAAAGCAGAGTATGATGTGAAACCCAATCTATGGTGGCCAATCTCATCGGTTGGGGAATTCGCAGCAAACCTGCCACAATCGATCCACGCGGTATACACTGCCGATATCACGAGGTGCTTCGAAGCCATCCCTACGGATGACTCGGAGCTCAACCTGATAACGGCAGTAAGATTGTCCGTTCAATCGGCCATGATGGCATGATCTACCGCAGGGACAGGAGCCCAAGGTACGTCATTAAGGTAAGAATCACTGCGTGGGGCAAGATGATCCCGTCCTGGACCGAAAACCGATTGGAAAACTCCACAGAAGAGTTGTTCTTCACCGAATCCGAGATCATCGACATCTCGCGATGGTGCCTAGATCACAGTCTGGTTCAGGTAGGCACATGCGTCTGGAAACAGGTCCTCCGCATCCCAATGGGCCTGGCCTGCTCACCCATATGGTGTGACATTTATTTCTTTAAATACGAATATCACGCCATGATGAGATTGCTATCTTCTGACAACAAACATCTGGTCCCCCACGTCGAGAGCACATACAGGTATGTGGATGACCTGTGCTCACTCAACAACCACTCCATTCGCGATTTCTTCTGGGCTGATTGCGATCAGACCACAGATCCGATCTGGATCTACCCTAGGGAGTTCATAGAAATGAAGAAAACGACCGAGGTAAAAAATGAAGAAGGACAGGGCATTGTGGATAACTTCCTGAACATGACTATCATCGTCTCTTCCACTCACGAAGGACACTTCTCCACGACAAGGCACGACAAGAAGAGGGGGCTGAACTTCTCCCCCATTAGGTTCATCAAGTTTAATTCCAATCGCAGCGCAGCACAGTCACTCCAAGTCATCACTGCACAAGTAGTTTTTATCCTCATACTGTGCTCGGACCCGCGCGAGGCTGCCAGGGAAATCGACGGCGTTGTTAGAGCTCTCTTTGACAACGGCTTCGAAACCGGCAGATGTTGGGCCGTGGTGAAGAAACTGTTCACAGGAAGGTTTGACTACCAACCCAGCGCGGCCAACCACAAGCTGGTTATGCAGTATCTGAGGGAGGATTTCCACGTGGTCTAACGCTGATCGTGCGTATGTGGTTGTGTTGAGCGTGTGTGGGTCCCGGGGGGTGTCTGGCCGCAAGGCCGGTTGCCCCCCGTGGCGAACGGCCTTGCCCCAAATCCACCTCCCCGGAGGGAACGGGGTGGGTCACACACACACACACACACACACGCACACACACACACACACACACACACACACATATACAGGATCAGAAGAGAGCGGCTGAGGAGGACCGGGGAAAGGGAAGAAGACTGAACGCCATAGGAAAGGCGAGTGTGTCAGTCCATCCCGGACCCCCCTCCCTTGCCCCCCTCCGAGAAGGCTTGTCTCCTGTCCCGTCCTTTCTTTTCTTTTCTTTTCTTCTTGTTTTCCCACCTTTTTCTTTTCCTTCCCCTTTCTTTTCCTTTCCTCTGTTCTCCTTTTTCCCGCGTTTGTCCTTCCGTTTGACGGCTCCCTTCCCCTTCCCCCTTTTTTTCTTTTTTCTTTTTCCTTTTTCTTTTTTCTTTTTTTCTTTTTTCCTTTTTTCTTCCCCCCCCTTTTTTTCAAAGCATCGCCCCCCCACCCGCGCAAGAGAACCTCATCGAACCAGCCTACGGATTGGGGAAGAATCGGAGAGTCATCGAATAAAAACGGCCCCGACATGCGTTCGTTTCTGAGGATCGAAACGACCAGACAATGAGGGACGAGACGAAAAAATAACTCAAGGGGGCAGGTCCCGTTCACCGCGCATGAAGTTTTTTGGCGCCTTGTCTTTTTTACGCTTGTTCCTTTTTTTCCTTTTTCCCTTTTTCCTTTATTTTTTTTCCTTTTTCTTTTTCTTCTCCCCCCCCCCCCTTTTTTTTGATGACAAAGGGGGACCGTTGTCGGGGTGAAGCCAGTGGGGGTGCAGCCATCGCTACTTGGGCGGTCAGGGATCCTCAGAAGATGACGAGTATCGTTCATCCCGGTCACTTCGATCGAGAGGAAAAGGAGAAGGGGGC